ATCCGTTCCTTTTGTCGTGCTTCCCGGGTCGTGTGTGCGTTTTCGGGGTGAGTGCCCTTTACCCACAACAGAAAACATGCTTTCTTAATGTTAACACTTTAGAATTTCCGTTTTTTATTCTTTTCCCTACTTCTGTTATGTTATGTAATTATAAACACATTTATATTGGAAGGATTGATCTTAAACAATTTTATCTTGATTGTTAACAATTCCCTTTTTACAGATTAAGAATCTAGATTGCGATCTGTTCCTCTTTATATTGTCTTTGTTATTATTTGTTTAAGAACTGCCCACATGTATTGAGGTTAACTGCGTGGTAATTCGCAGGTGTAACATTCTTATTATTAAATAAAGTTGAATAAAAATACATTGTTAGTTGTGTCGATACGATTCATTGTAATATAAATTCCTTGCTGTTTACCATCAATACTGTTGTAGCATATGAATGACAGACGCTGATCCATTTCTTTGGAGCCTCGTAACCTATACACTCTTGCGCATTTAAATGATCTATTCTAACCTGCATTCCTCTTACCTGTCCCTGTATATACCCACACATATTTGCCTTTAATACTGTACGTTCTCTTATGTTTAATTATTCCCCCCCCCCCTTTTTTTTTTTCTTCCTGAACTGGCGGTGGTCAGTACTAAACCGGAACCGCCACCAATGGCTGCAATTCGCTGTTCCGTTCATTCACTCACCATTCTTTGTATTATTTTAGCACTTGCACAAGTCACTGCACATGCACCCACGGTGAAACGATTGTTTATATTGAGACTAGTACGAAGTGAAAAATTTTACATGCTTAACGTTACATATCAAACAGACTATATTATTCTACATCATATTCAAATCATTACATGGGCCCATTTCTTAATTATTTTATTTGATAATTGTAGGCCAATATTAAATTTAGTCATATGAATTTTGATTTAGAAATTAACCAAGATGTAACAGAAAATGAGTCTACATATTTTGCTACTGACGATTTCAACGCTGCTTTTAATTTAAGTAATGATGGCCATAATCAACAGTCCCTTAGTTTGTTGCATATTAATGCTAGAAGTATGAATAAAAACTTCGATTCTATGGATTTATTTTTTTCTTCTATACAACATTTTCCGTTTTCCATAATAGGGATAACGGAAACATGGTTGAATAATAAATCACCTCCTTTATTTAATATTGAAAATTATAAACTAATTAGAGCTGATCGTAGTTATGGACGAGGGGGTGGAGTAGCCTTGTACATTCATGATTCCTTAACATTTAAAGAGAGACCTGACTTAAGTGTAGATGGCTCCGAATATATTTTTATTGAAATTATAAATAAACAAGCTAAAAATATACTTGTTGGAGTAATGTATAGACCACCTCATAGTAATATTGATATGTTTGTAGATAGATTAGAAGAAAGTCTTTCTTTAATATCGCGTGAAAATAAAATCATATATCTTATGGGGGATTATAATATTAATCTACTTCCACATGCATTGAATAATATTGGACTTAGGTTACTAACTACACTCTCTTCTTATTCCCTCCATCCACATATTAACAAAGCTACCCGAATAACTAGTATAACTGAAACTTTAATAGACAATATATTTTCGAATATTTTTAATGAAAACAGTCAGAATGGAATTTTGTATTCTGATATTTCTGATCACCTCCCCATATTTGTTATTTCCCCTACAATTCAGTTACTTAAACATGAGTCCATGAAGTATATATACGTTCGGAAAGAAACGGATGCTAATATTCAGAGCTTTCGTGGGGACTTAGCATCAGAATCTTGGATTGATGTATTTAATTTAGTAGTTGCAAATGATGCTTACGATATATTTTTGAATAAATTAATGTATTATTACAACAAAAATATACCTTTGGTTCGAATTAAGTTAAATAAAAATAAGGCTAAGAAACCATGGACAACGAGGGGCATTTTACGATCGATTGCGACTGGCAATCGATTATATAAGAAAGCGTTAAGAAGTAAAGATGATATCGATTTAGATAAATATAAAAAATATAGAAATAAGTTAACATCTATTATTCGGCTATCACGCAAATTATATTACTCAAATAAAATTGCGAGTACTCAAAATAATAATTCTCTTTGGAATATTATCAAAGATCTTACTGGTAAGAAAAAACATATAAATACAACCATTAATGTTAATGGACAAGACATTAATAATTTGAATGAATGTGCTAATTATTTTAATAAGTACTTTGTTGATGTAGGTCCCACATTAGCCTCTAAAATAGATGCTGGCAACAATCATTTTTCTCAATATCTTTTAGAACCCTCTGAAAATTCATTATTCTTTACTCCCACAACTATTCATGAGGTAATTAGTATAGTTCAATCACTGAAATCAAGCAAGTCATCAGGACCAGATGGGTTAAGTATGAATCTCATTAAGCAAATAATACACTTTATTGTTTCTCCATTGGTTCATATATGTAATATTTCTCTCTCTACTGGTTCCTGTCCTAACTTATTAAAAATTGCTAAGGTTATACCGATTCATAAAAAAGATGACCCATCTAAACTTCAAAATTATCGTCCCATATCATTATTATCAAGTATTTCAAAGGTTTTTGAGAAATTGGTATATAAAAGATTGATTTCTTTTTTGAATGAGCACGATATTTTGATTCCTAACCAGTTTGGATTTAGGAAAAATCATTCAACTGATTTTGCTTTAATTAAACTTTGTGATAAAATAATTGAATCTCTCGCAAATAAGAAGCATGTTATAGGTGTTTTTATGGATCTGAGTAAGGCCTTTGATACCATTGATCATACAATCTTACTTTATAAACTAGAACACTATGGTATCAGAGGCCTTGCTCTATCCTGGTTTGAGGACTATCTTAAAAATAGAACACAGTATGTTTATTATCATTCTAATAGTTCCTCAAAATTGAACCTCACATGTGGAGTTCCTCAAGGCTCCATCTTAGGCCCGCTCTTATTTTTGATTTATGTAAATGATATAATAAAATCTTCAAATACTCTAACTTACATTCTTTTTGCCGACGATACAAATAAACTTTACTCACACAAAAATATTGATACACTTGTTGATACTGTAAATCATGATTTGTGTAATATTTCAATATGGTTTAAATGTAATAAATTATCCTTAAATATAAGTAAAACTAATTTTATCCGTTTTAGAACTTTTAACTCCCAGGACCAACCACAATGTAATTTGTTTATAGATGGTTTATCCCTGGTTGAAAAACAATCGACGAAATTTTTAGGAGTTATTATTGACTCAAATTTGTCTTGGAACGAACACATTCATTATATAAATATTTTGATATCCCGGAATATTGGTATTTTATATAAAATTAAATGTTTGATAAATGATAGATCTTTGTTTATTCTTTATAATACTTTAATTTTACCGTATATAACATATTGTAATATTATATGGGCAAACTGTAGTAAAACTAAAATAAACTCAATATTTCTTTTGCAAAAGAGAGCAATTCGTATTTGTACACACTCTAACTATCTTGCAAATTCGAACCCGTTATTTAGTCAATTAAAAACATTAAAGGTTTATGATATACATACGCTCCAAACTGCCATTTTTATGTATAAGTACACTTCCAAAACTCTTCCAGCATCTTTTTTAAACTTTTATTTATTAAATGTAAACGTACACTCATATTTAACTCGACATGCTCATGATTACCATCTTAATAATCCCAAACTTAGTTTAGCCCTACGATCAATTAGACACCATGGACCAGATATTTGGAATAACTTACCAAACCATATTAAAACTAGGACCTCCCTGTATTCTTTTAAAGCTTATTTGAAAGCATACTTGTTAACTCAGTATAGTTTACTAGATCTTACATAGAAATTTAAAAATTATCTAATTTGTTATGTCTTGAATTGTTCTGTCTTTGTTTGTCAACAGAAATGGACCCTGCATACATTTAATATTATCACCCGTTACTGAAACCAACACACAATTAATATCACGGTATTAGTCTCTTTTTATTCCACCAAGCTAAATTTTTGCACCTTGCACAAATGCACTTCTCAACACGAAATATTTCACTAAATTTGTTTTGTTATTTTCGCTCAAAATTAATTCAGCCATGCTCACTTTTAATCACTTCAATTATATCTTATTTAACATTGAATACAATGCAGTTGCATGGGTTGTTCTTTTATTTTGTTAACTCGGCAGAGGCCACGGTCATGTTCAAGCATTTACGCTTACGACATGTGGTCTCCTGCTTTTTCCTTTTGTATGAAACTTTTATTTTAACTAGAAACAAATTTTGTCAAACTTACATGTTATTCATCATATTTATTTGTATGTTTCTTTGTATTGATATGAAAAAGTGGAAATAAAACAAAACAAACAAACAAGTGGTTGGTTTATCATTATAGATACAAGCATAGATACTCAATAATTATAGCTGTTATGAATATGGAGCCAGAGGATCAACATCGGTCAGTTATATCCAAAGAACTTCATACATTTTTGAAAATTGATTCTTTGTTGTGGTTTTAAATAGAGATATTGCAATTTAGAGACATTGTGCCCTTATTGCTAGATTATACTCTCTATATTATTAATATATGTTTGTTTATTTGTTTTGTTAGTTGTTTTGATTAACTGACTGCTAAGAAAGCATATGTATGCTTGTAAGTAAGCAACCTGGGGACTGACGGCTTTAAGTCCTCTCTGAGGGACTTTGTAATGAGGATTAATGCCTTTAATACCAAAGAGCACTAGCATCGACTTGGTTTGGAACCCGGGATCTTGGTTATGACACCACTGATCTACCACTGAGCCATCATGCGTCAGCCTATCCCTCCCACCGCCTATGTCTCAGTATATAAACAGTGCCTGAAGTCCCTATTATTCTAGAAATAATAAGAGTAAATAGAAACAACATAACATGGTAGTTATTAAATACTTGTGCACCATTTTCTGGGTTTTTTCATCTCCGGTAGGTGTTTCTGACATGGCGAGCCATTTATGTGATTGTCTTTGATCTCAGTAGAAGTTTGGTTTCTGACGTTCCCCTTGAATCCAAAGAAAAGGTATTTCTTTATTTAATTTTATACTGCTTGGTAAAAATGAATTATGCTTTACAGGGGATAGATAAATGTTGGAAGTCTTTTTTTTCTTTGCCAAATTTTAATTTGTAAAGTTGTACATATTTTCATCATTCATTACTCGTTTAAATGTATTTTAAAGTTACAGATATTATGATAGCTCTTTTTGATTTTGACTATTATTGAATATAGATTCAACTACTTGTTTCCTTGTGGATAAATACATATGTAAATTGTTTGTACAATGAAATCTGTGATATATAAACCTTTTTCTTCTTTTGAGAGCATGGTATGAGATGAAATATTCTATCTCTTTGAAAGTCAGTTTCTGCTCGAAAATACATGTAGGCCTACAAGGTTATCTATGTCAATGGCTTCTACATGTGGGCATGTCATTAAAGCGATCAACTTTTGATTTAAAAAAATTACCAGTCATAATAGCTGGTAATGTTTTATCAATTGAATATCAAGGAGTACTGCTATTTCTCTTGATGATTAATTAATATTCTCCTCTGTCATCATCTCATATATCCCATTTCACCCCATCCTTTAATGAATATTATTTCTGTTAGTATAGCAAAAAGTATTTTTCCTCAATATTCCTTTTTTTTTTAATGCAGTAATTATGAAGTTTTATGAAGGATTGCCAAGCTTCAAGCTTAGTATATGCTGCAATCTTTCTTTATGATTATTTTATGGTATTATGAAAGTACATAACTGATAATGTATTAATTATATGAATTGATTATCATGCTGTTATCTGTTTCTTATTTTGGAAGATCATGAGGATAAATAAATCAATAAATCATTCAACAACAACAAAATTGAAAATTATGTTGGATGCGAGGAGTGGGATAAGTAAGTATGTGTTAGAATGATTACAAAGCATGGTGTTTCTGTGTATTTTTATTATTGGCCTTATCATACATACTTCTTTACAATTAAAACACAGTCTGAAGGAGATGCAAAATCAAAACTGACATGTCTAGAGTTCATCAATTTCTGGTTGTGTTCCATCTACGCCCATGCTGTGGCACCCTTGTCTAAAAACTCTGAGGAATCTCCACCGATATTCATCGTTGGAACGCATCGAGAAAGTGTGAAAGGAGATGCAGAAGAGAAAAGGAAAAAGGTAATGGTTTATGATATACATGTATTTTGATAATAAAATAATAAATATACCCTCGCCGACGAAGTCGTAGGGGATATAGTAACGCTGCCGTCCTTCCTTCCGTGCGTCCGTCCGTAACAAATTTGGTTTCCGATCGATAACTTCAGTAATGTTCGACGGATTTTAATGAAATTTGATATGAACGTTCATTGTATCAAAACACAGCCTAAGTTTGATTTCGGAGTATGTAGTTCTTAGGTCATAGCTCATTAAATACGCGAATCTGGTTTCCATTCGATAACTTGAGTAATGTTTGACAAATTTTAAAGAAATTTAATATGAAGGTACATAGTATCAAATCACAGCCTAAGTTCGATTTCGGAGTATGTAGGTCAAAGGTCATAGCTCATTAAATATGCAAATCTGGTTTCCATTCGATAACTTAAGTAATGTTTGACGAATTTTAATGAAATTTAATATGAAGGTACATGGTATCAAAATACCGGATTTGCCGGCGATAAGGCCGCAGTGCCGCATAGGCCGCACCCCAACTTTGACATTTCAAAGAGGGAAAAAAATACAAACGGACAAAACAAAATCGTAATTTTCTCGTAAAACACTATTTTTTTTTTACATACTGATACCAAATTCATCAATATTCTTATAATTTACCGGAAGTTTAGCTAAAAAAGTGATCGCAGGTAGATTTGGTGTCCGATATACCCCTACCACAATGTACGGTGTAATGCAAAATTGCATGAAATGGAAAACAAAATGGCGACTTAGGATGTCTTAATGTCAACAATGCAAGATGAAATTGTCGGTGAGATGTGTGGAAATGTCCTGTACCATAGAAGTATAGTTATTGTACCGTTCGTAGTCCCATATGTGCAAATTCGTGCTGGTTTTGACTTATGTTGTTTTTTTTTTTAAACTCTTTTGCCGCAAAGGCCGTTTGAAGTTTTGTCCACTCTTTACGTCTTCATATATCCATTTCGGCCGCAATATTACACTCCCCGTTATTATAAAAAATAGCAAAAACTGAAATATATACTTAGACTTACAATATTATCTTTCTCATTTACCTCATGAATTAACTTTTAATTCGAGAAAGACTTTTTGTCAACAGGAGTCATTGTCAGGTTGACAGATGTCAGTTTTATTAAAGAAATTCCCATACCAGACGATTATTTCTGTCTGACCCCGAGTGGCCATTACATTGGTCATTTGGATTCAGTTAGGAGTCGGTTTAGCAGTGGGATAAGCCTATGGAACTTACAGCTTGACTAGAAGATCGGATTTAATCTAAATTTCACACATTTGAGATCTAAAATTGCCTTTTCATAGCAATTTAAGTTATAAAAGGGCACTAGAAATGTCATAAATAAGAATAAGAGCAATAACCATGCACTTTGAAGAACTCAAGTGTCCCTTTAAAAAGTAATTAATTTTAAGAAATATTTATTTCATCTGAACAATACTTTTCAGTCATACAAATATGTTTTTACTTAGCCCCATTCCTTCATTGATCGGCTAGCAAATGAATATTCATGAAATTTGCACTACCTAGCAAATGGGAGACGACATCTAAAGATAAGTCAAAGAGTTACCAAATTGTGTTTTATTGAATACAACTTAAAAATGTAATGACTTTCTTATTTTTAGACAGATTTTGTTCAATTCTAATCTGTTTCTCGTTAGTCTCGTTGCGTCTCACTGTGTGTTTGCATGCTTTAAAGTTCATCAGTTGTTTGTATTGCTGCGTGTCAGCTCGTTCTACAGCATACCAGCTCACTCGGTAAACATCACTCACTGCGACGGTGTATAAATACTAGTCATTTTGCAGGACTGGGCATCAAGGTGTGACTGAGGCATTAAAACCATTGAGATATCATGGATGACTTTAATTGCATAGTGCTATTTAATATCGTTATTCTTTTTTTTCAAGTTCTCATCTAAAGTGAGGTATGCAAGTATGTATTACGACTGAGATGTGTATTTTCTGTTCATTTCACTCTTTTTGTCTTCTAGATTGCCTCTGCCTTTGACAAGATCCGTGAATCTATCAAGAAGAAGCCGTTTGAATGCCAAGTAGTCCCCAAGTATTATGCCATTGAAAACAGCTTCGAGGACAAAGATGAAGAGGTACATCACAATTAAATCAACTATCACAACTTATAGTAACCCTGTACCAAATGAGTATTACTGATTATCTGTCCAATCCAGTTACATCCAATCCAAAAAGTGAAGTGGCTTTTCCTTGCAGTTACAAAGTGCTGCACAAATTGCCCTACATGTTTGGACCACTTTCAACAATAATACATGTATATCAATTAAAAAATTTAAGCTAATGCAGTCTATTGTTCTGTAATAAAATGTAATCTACACTTTATATCTTAGCTTGGAGCCGTTTAGATGAAATGTGATGGATTTTTAGACTTTAGCTGGGTTCTTTTTTAAGACCAAAAATGCCTTCAAATTGCATGGTTATTGTTCTTATTCTTATTTATGACAATTCTAGTGCCCTTTTAGTACCTAAAATTGTTATGAAGGTATTTTTAGAACCCAAAATGTGTAAAAATTTAGATTAAATCTGATCATACCAATTCAGCTCCGCTTTCAAAATAATATGGTGACCGTAAATTTAATGATAATAACAATACACGGGCCGGCTTGTTGTGCGTATTATAACCAACACGAAAAAGCCAACATTGGAGTTGGAATAAAATGCATAAGGCGCTACCATCTTGTTTTTCAGTAGCTGGTTCAAAATTATCAAATATTTGTCGGGCTCCACAAATGTTGGTAAAGGTTATATTTATGGGGTTCTTGGACAATTACCTCTTGGGTGTGCAACCCAAACCCCCCCCCCCCCCTCAAGGATAATTACCCCCCAGAAAATCACCCCCCCCCCCCCCCCCCCAAGGACAATTACCGCCCAACGATAAAAAAAAATCTGCTTCTATTAAAATCAACTTATGATCAGGCTGGACTTTCCTTCAATGAACAAGGGGGGGGGGAATTTCCTGGGGGTGTTTGTCCTTTTTAATAATGTCCCAAATGTTATGTTACGCAACAAAGTAGCCAGAGGCAATATGTTTTGGGTTGTCTGTCCGTCCGTAAGTCCCGTTCTCGTGATCGCGTTATCTCAAGACCCGATTGATAATTTCCCGCCAAACTTGGGTCATGTACGTATTTTGCAGAGCAAATGAACTGATTAGATCTAGGGTTATGAAGTCAAAGGTCATAGGGCTCATAATGTTTGCAAAAAGAGCTCGTGATCACATTATCATTAGAAACGATGGACGGATTACCATCAAACTCAAGACATGTATGTATCTTGCAAAGCCAATGAACTGACTATATTTTTAGGGTCATGAGGTCGAAGATCAGAGGGTCATACTTGTATATAAAAATATCCTGTAATCACGATATTCTGAGAATCTGTTAAAGGGCCCATGACATCGAAATACAAGTGTATTCCTGTTGGTGTGCAGTCCTGCATACATCTCATATTTTGATATGTAAACTTCTGAATTTGTTTCATAGATTTTTAAATATTTTTTGAAATATTTGTTGTTCACACTTGCTAAGCTCCACCCAAAAAACCTCCAGATCTCATTCCCCTTGTGACATTATCTGTCATGCAGTCATCAATGAGCTAACTTGAGAAAGTGGTATGTATTTTTGCTGAAGTCGACCACCTGTTACAATGCGTAATACAATAGCAACATACAAGTTGCTATGTCTGAAATGCTGTAGCATCACCAGGAAGACAAAGGCAATGATGATGTATTGTACATATGTATGGAAGCATGTAATTCTATTATGAATGTGTGCTAAGCTGGAGGAAATGACATACCATTGTCTATTGTAGAATATTAGTTTAGTCTGACATGTCTGACATAGCGACTTATATGTTGCTATTGTTTGTGGTATTGTAACAGGTGGTCAACTTTGGCAAAGTTACATGCCACTTTCTCAAGTTAGCTCACTGATGACTGACAGTTGAATGTGTAGAGAGAAGAACAGGCGAACACAAACTTGTGTAATTTCATCCTTTTTTAACTTCAAAAATACAAAAAACATGCAAAAACACGCATTAGCAAACCTAATGTTATTGAAAATTGTAAATCATGGAACAAATAACGGGACATTAAAACATGCACAAATTAGCGCATTATCCGAAACTATTGAGTTTTTGTCAGGATGTAATTTTTCTTTTCCCCAACTCTGGCACACAAATTATAGGAAGGACGAAGTTCTAAATTTGGAAATGTGTTTGATGCACTATTCCCAATACAATCCCCATATAAAGTTTTTGATTTACACTGAAATTTTGCCGGTAATTTAATTAAATGTAAAACTGGTGCCTGGCTTCCGAAAGTCCCCGCAGTGGAAGTGCGGTTCAGAGCCTGGAACTTCGAAGCCAAGTGGAATGTAACACATCCCATTGTTACGCTTTAGAACTCACAAATGCTATGAATAAATTACAAGAGTTTCGCCGGCTTGATTCCAGTCCTTCTCTATCAAGTCCCTGGTATGATGTATGCCGATGATACCCAAGAGTATGTCATATTGTTTTTTTTTTAAACAAACAAAAAACGGTGTTTTGGCTCAGTCAGTAGATCGTCCGCCTCACAACCGGGAGGTCGTGGGTTCGAACTCCGGCCGCGTCATACCAAAAGTAGTTAAAAGACGGGAGTTGCTGCTACCTTGTTTGGCGTTCAACAATAAGGGATAGAGCAACGTCAATCTGGGACTGCTCAGTGGCTGCCGGGCTCACGACCAATTGGGCAAAAAGAATTTCCATTTTCGGTTTAACTTAAGAAAATTTGGAGTGGACTTTAAAATATTATTAGTATTATTAGTATTATTATTCAAGTAAGGTCGTGAGAATGAAGCAGTTTTGCAACTCCAGGCTTGTATGGTAGATATTAAGAATTGGTCGACTTATAATGGTCTTAAAGGTGATTTCCATTCATATTGAATTAGGTATCGTTAGAAAGATTATTTTCAGTTCTTCATTTTTGTTTCTAAGTTCATTGTCAATAAACATAAGGGCAAGGAGATATACTGGAATGAAGTTACGAGAGTCAAGTCACCTTTATATACCTTAGAAGGTTACAAATAAATACGTAAAGACAGGTCGAGTGGTAGGGGCGGCGGACTTCTAATGTACAGTGCGTCCCGAAAAAAACTATACACTTTTGAAATGGCTGCCGAATAAAAAAATATATAATTCTGGGGGATTATTTTTATATGTATAGCAAGCCTATAAACTCAGCTTTCATATGACACCAAAATGTTTGAAAATAATTCATGCTTGGGTGAGCACTGCTCACTTTTGTAAAGGGTATGAAAATTAGGTTGCACAGGAATTAGCCTTCCAATTTGTGAGAGGTAATCCTTTGGAGCTTACGGAATTGAGGATGATATGACCAATTTATGATCCATTGTGATGAGTTTGGGTTTGCTGAGTGAAATTTGTAGTTTATGGGATTAACATTTATGCATGAGTGAACAGGAATTGCATTTGTTATTACCGTATAGCAATGTAACTTTCCATGGTAGACTCAGTGGAGTTTTCATGGGAGTCAGGACGGGGTGATGGTACATGGTGCAGGGGAGGTGAAATGTAGGGTAGGACTTTGTTTGGTAGATGGGATTAGGGTCAAGAGGACATGTATGCCCCTCCCCTCTCTCTCTCTCTCTCTGCCTGGGTGTGCTTGTGCATATCTTGACAATCCATTACATTCAGCTATCAATCACTTAATGAACAATGAACGGTATCAGTCAATCAGTCAATCAATTAATCAATCAAGCATTCAATCACCATTCAGTATTTCAACCAATTTAATCATTCAATCATAATTAATCAATAACTCAGTCAATCACTCAATCTATCAACCAACCAACCAGTCATTTTAGCACTTGAGTTTCTGTAAATGGTAAATGGGTAACCTTAAGAATAAGTAGCCAACATCTGTGATATTCCTCTTTTCAACAAACCGTATTTGAATAATCAATTTACAATAATTTTACATAATCCCCATCTGGTTATTAGGTAAATCAATGAGATGTTCAACTAATCTTACAATAACTGAAATGTGGGGTGAATGTTTTTATTCAAAGTCACAGATGTAAAAAATAACAGTTTGTAAGATGGAAATTACAACATGTACCATCACCCCATCCTGACTCCCATGAACACACCACTGAGTCTAACAGGGAAAGTTAGAATCCTACAATAAAAATTAAAATTCCTGTTCACTCATGCATATAATTTTCATATCACCCTCGATTTTGTAAGCACCAAAGGATTTACCTCTCACAAATTGGAAGGCTAATTCCTGCGCAACCTAATTTTCATACCCTTTACAAAAGTGAGCAGTGCTCACCCAAGCATGAATTACGATTCAAGCTCTATTTGCTTATGTTTCATCACCTTTGTGTGTTCACTCTTCAAACTGTATATAAGTTGCAACTTGTCTTTGATAAAACAATGTTACATTCTTTTTCACGTGAAGTTAATTCAAATGTATTGTAAAATTGAAAATGATTTGTCATCTTATATTAATTTTTCATGTGATGTTAACTTCAATGAATTGTGAAATTGTGAACATGCATAAATAAATAAATAAATAAATAAATGATAAATAAGTTTTTCTGAGAGAATTTCGTCAACGATACCGTTAGGAGGTTTGGGCGTGTGACGTCATTCCGTGGACTATTCACAACACGGTCACCGCACGCATTCTTTTCACAATCAGATAGCACTGCAGGGTACATAATCAGAGTGAAAGTATAGATGTTATATCAGGATATTAATCATCAGTAAAAAAAAAAAAATGATCTTGGAGTATGATGAAGAAGAAATTAGAAGCAGTGATGATGGTGAATTGGGCGAATTTAAAGACGACGAAAATGTAAACGCTGATAATCGTGATGCGGGAGTTGCAGCTGCAGGAGTAACTCCAGGAAGCTTCGATCAACGCCAAAGGCGTCGGAGCTTCAGCGGGTGTATAGGAAAACATTCAAACAGCGGGTTGGTCGACATTATCTCAAAATATGCAAAGGGAGTAATCACAATTTTGACTTTATTACTAGGTTGCCCGACTCCTCTGGGCATCTGGCTGGCCACTTGAAATTATAATTTGAAGAAGTCTTTGATAGGAAAAAGGGGGTGATTCTTCGTCCTACCCGGACGATTCTTACCCTTCTCTTTGCTGAGTTTTTTTGATCAGCAGACATTTCAACTACTACTACTACAATTACAAGCCGAGGAATACAACCATTTTAGCTCACATACATTCTAATCGCGCTCTCCTTGCTTAATTTGTTCGATTGACAGACGTTTCAGCTAATTTATAACCTGAGAAAAACAACTATCATCTCCAAAAAATGTCACGCTGCAATACAACGAAACACAGTTAACACTGCACTACGAATGGCTGAGCTATCGCAAGTTTTCCTCATGCCGCGAAATATAGGCGAAGCCGGTGTGTCAGGATCTGCAAGACGATCAATTTTACAGTACCAAACGTCAATATTTCAAGGAAACCAAACATCGGGAAGTAACCAATGCTTATATAATTGAAAGAATGTTTATTACTTTATTGTAAATTTGATAAAACACTTCATTAAATATCACCAAAATTGCAAAATCTACTAAAAAAATGACTCATCTTGTGTACCTATTAACATTGAAATTATCCCTTTTTCTTCTGGGTTTAGGAACAGTCCACGGAAATACGTCACAAACGAGAATATCAATGCTTCCGGGTTCCTCGATCTGCTTACACTATTGATCTTTCTATGTCTAATAATAATTTAACAACACATGCAAATTCATGTCAATCAATATATTTGTATTCCTTATGTCATATTCGCATTCCAACAATAGCAAACATGCATATTTTCATTACTTTCTTCCAAATTCACCTTTAAACCCAATGAGGATAAAACTGAGGTCCTTTACTTCACAAGTAAATTAAGACAATGTATATATTTCATTTGGTAACACTGTAATACACCCAGCTGACTCGGCTCGAAACCTTTGTGTGAGACTAGATGAACACTTGACATTGTTAGCTCGTGTGAATCCTATCTGCAATGCAGCATCATTTGCTTTGCATAAGATTGGGACAATTCATCCCTTTCTTTCAAAGTGGACCACAGAAAGACTTGTTCATGCTCATGTAGTTTTTAGCCTTGACTTCTGTAATGGTATCTTATATGGTCTTCCTGATAATGAAATTCAGAAGTTGCAAAGAATCCAAAACTCTGCGGCAAGGTTCGTAATTCGCACTCGACTTCAGTATCATATAAAACTCCACTGGCTTCCAGTAAAAACGAATTGATTTTAAGATTTTGACATTGGTGTTCTTGTGCATGCAAGGATTAGGCCCTGATTACTTACAACAATTGATAACAAAATATCGCCCGACAAGAAACCTTCGCTCTCAGTCACAATCCTTGCTAGTTCCTCCCTCAATATCAACAAATTACTATGGTGCGAGATCCTTTCAACAGGCAGCTGCAGAGTTATGGAATAAATTACCTAGTCATCTTAAGCAGGTTGATACAGTAGAATTTGTTTAGAGCCTCTTAAAGACACATTTGTTTGTTTGTTAAATTAGTACAATGTTATGACAATGCATTTATTCTTTCCCTTCTCTTCCCTCATGTCTGCTATTATCCTTTCTCTTCTTGTTTTTGAGCGTATAGAGATTTAAATTTATTTTTGTGATATGCGCTACATAAGAATGGTTTATTAACATTATATGAGCATTTATCTACATAAAAAATCCACTACTTGTAAAGGCCAAATTTAAAGTAATTGAATCTTTGTGCAGCATAAAACGTACCACCATTCGATACAAGAGTCTGAAAATCAGACTATTACTTGGGTGATTGCAATTACTTAAGTCGATTCGACAACTGATGGTCGTTTATTTTCGCACAAAAAGCTATTTCCAAACCTATTCGTTTGAGGGAAGTTCAAATAAGTATTGTCTTTCAAATACCATTGGAATTTAACATTTACAATTGTTTTACCTGCAAATGGGACAAAGTACCTTTAATATCTGACTTTTCACAAACATAATTATATAGTTATTCTTCTTAGAAGACATGACACAAGCCTGATGCTTTAATTGCCTCTGGTAATAATGTTGCCGATTCTTCTCCACATTTCTGTGCTACATCTGTGAAATTATCCCCTCTCATATAAGTTTAATATTCCTGAACATGCTCAATTGAATTTATCTTTGATTATTTGATGACATTGCCTTAATAATGTTGACAACTATTCATCCACATCTTCGATACATTTTTGTAAATCTTTTCTTATATTGCTGTATGATGTTACCATTGTTATTTTGTGATATTGCTTTTGTATTTTAATGTTTTTAATATGATGTAAATATCTGATTACTCTGTAAAACAGACAATATCAGCCTTGAGCTGCATGTCACTATGTAGAGTTTTCTTAAATAATAAACCTTCCTACTTTCCTTTGTAGATAGGCGAATTGAGGAAAGATATTGTTGAAGAAGCGATAAAAGAGCCTTACATGGGAGAAGAGATTCCAATCAGATGGCTCAAATTTGAGGAAGCTCTAGCTGCAGATAAAAAGAATCACTTGTCATTCGATGAGGTAGGACTGCAACGTTTTTTCTTGCCATTTCCAAATAAATTATGTTTAGGTATATGAGTTGAAACAAATGAGAGAGCAATTGTATATACATTTAGTTCATATTTAAACTTTAAATTTTAAAAATATAATTGGGTTTTATTCGTTTGAAACATTTTTTTAATTTGCCATTTTTAAGTACTGAAGTTTTTAACAAATTGATTTTTATGTATTTTTTATTTTCAAGGAAATTTAAGTTTAATCCTTATTTCATTTCTTCATAGCTACATACAACTCTCTTGGTATTGTTGGGAATATGTAATGCTATATTATTACATGTAAAAGGCATCAATGATACCCTTTCAATTTTGTCTTAATAGTAGGATGTAGTGCCTTTGAAAATGTTGGCATAAGATTCAGGCTACATGTTGCCTTCTGTATTTAAAAATTATTGCTTTATTATCATATTCATATTCTTTATATGCCCTGTGTAAATTAAATGTAATGTTACTGTTACCATATTCATTTATTTGATGGATACTATTTGTGATGTTTTTCACCAATCATATAATGATTTTAAAGCCATTTTTTAAATTCTCCTAGACCAAGGTACTAACGCAGCCAATGGGGATTGAACCTGAGCGTGAACTTCTCACGATGCTGACCTTCTACCACGACCTGGGTTATGTAGTCTACTATGGAGGCATTGAAGACCAGCAGTCTCTCCTACGAGACATGGTGATCCTGAATCCTCAGTGGCTAATTGATGTCTTCAAGCAGGTCATAACCATCAAGGATCCTGCAAAGAGGGTTGCTGCAGTAAGCTACAGCAGGTTTTTTAAAATTATAAAATGAATGGGAAGTGGGTATTAAAAACTAATTGTGTACCACAAAGGTCCTATGCAGTCTGTCCTACAAGACATCTTAGGAGATGTGGTTAATTGATGTCTTCAAGCAGGTCATTACCATCCTGGGTTCTGCAGAAAGGGTGAGAAACCTTCTCTTCCATTTAAAATAATATTCTGGGTATATATATATGTCACCACCAGTCCCCACTTAACACATACACGCAAAATAACAGCATCTGCACAAATTGTGTATGATTATCAAATCAACAAATACTTTGTGGATCACTCAATAAATAAGAACGGACGCCGCTTTGTATTGGATAACTGTTTTATTCAATCTGCAATCAAAGAGAAAATGCAGATAGAAAATCCGGTGTTAGCATTCAGATATTCAGTCGTAGAGTTACACACAAGATATGTCATTGAATAGTTCCCTGTATTTCTTGCCAAATATCTCAACCAAAAAGTAACTCCATGATGTTCAGAGCACAAGCATGTGCATATACATGTATCACCTCCAATAGCATACACCTGTCAAAGTGACTTTTACAACTGACCTAAATAATCATGCGCAGAAGCAAATTTGACTTCTTTTGCATTCAATCTACCATGCTAAATAACTGTTGCTGTTTTTCAACTCAGCCAAAATGAGAATTTATCAAACTTGTAAATCTCCTTTCTTTTGATACAACTAAAGAAATGACCAAATTATTCTTTAGAAATTTGCATACAATTTATGCGCACTCATTAAGTGTTTTCTTTTATGAACTTATACAAATAGCATGGCATTCTTTAATTTGCCAAGACTAAATCTTTTAATTCATACACTTGCATAAGGTGCCTGTTATACGTACATGCTTACTTTCTCCAAATAAACAAATTTCTTTGTTCATATGAGCAACCAAAGTTCAATATGCATGCAGTATTTCTACAAACTAAATATCAGGTCCTCAAAACACTTCACTTTGTGAATGACCCTAAAAGCAGTGACCAACTTTTTGCAAGCCAGATTTCATGCATGGTGAAATTATTTCTTACTCTTAAAACAGATCTTGGTTACCTTGATTTGTAAGTAAATAATCAAACTATTATCAAACATCTCACTCCATTCACACTCTCATAAATATATTTGTGCAATATTTTGTGTCTCTGCGTTAAATTACACTTTCCACTGAATTTACGGCTTTTTCTTATTAAACGACAACTTACCTTTGACCGATAGACGTAAAGTCTTAAGCGTGCACAGTATCCTACTTGAAGCTGTACGCACATACCAAATTATTTGACACGTCGACACAAAATTTGGCACAGCTTATATCTCAATTTTGAATTAATCTACACATTTTTATCCTTCATTAAACAAGTATTGAGTATTTCATGATTTAAACTTTCTTTATGGGGGGCGTTAAACTTAACGTAAAAGGACAGATTTGGGGACTTTCTGTCCCACCGGAATACTCATACTCTGATTTTCTCTGGAACATAATGTGTCTGCAAAAAACTCATGTTATGGTGTCTTCAAGTTTCAAACAAAATTTAAAGAAAAGATCTTAAAAAATGATTAAAGAAACTGTTTTTTCAATGAAACACACTCCCCGCCCAGATGAGGGCAATTATGGTCCTTATCTTATAACCTATATCAAACTCAAATTTCATATCCCTCAGATATGGATAAATGACCACTATTTTAGTTATTGGTCTGGTAAGTTTAGTGTTTACAGTTTTCACTTTCACATTCCTAATATTCCCATCTGACCCAGGATAGACATGAACAATTCTCCCTATAGTCCACTTGTCCCTGACCGCGTTATGGTCAGCTACCATGTCCACGTCATCAACTCGTACATTTCGTTTCTCTGTGTTCCATTTACGTCGTGGGACTGACGATGGGAACACATTCCATATCTTCCAAAATTCATTCACAATCCGTTGAACAAATTCTACCCTATGATTAGGATTCTTAGTTTCTTTGAAAGGACCCTGAGGTATCTATATAGAAGAAGACCTTCCCGACAACATGTCATTGGGACATAAGTACGCACCGTCGTCTGGGTCATTCGGTGATCTTCCGATTGGTCGTTGATTGACCAAGTTTGCGACTTCCTGTAGGCATGTGTGGAGTTCAAACGGTCTTAACACTTGGCTTCCTATCGCTTTTTTCAACGCGATTTTACAAGTTTTTACAAGCGACTTGGCGGTGCCGTTCTGATGAGGAGCTTGAGGCATTATGAATCTCCACTCAGTTCCACGTTCTGCGCAGAAATCCTTCAACTGCTGATCGTTCCAACCTTTTACCATTTCTCGAAGTTCTCTTTCTGCGCCTACTAACTGTGTACCATTATCACTGAACATGCGGGCTGGTTGTCCTCTAATCGCGAAAAAATCTGTGAAACACTTGTAGGAACTCTGAAGTTGAGCAATCGACGGCTTACTCTAAATGCACAGCTCGTGTATTGAGACATTTGTTCCTGCTAATATTTACTTGAATTGGCCCAAAATAATCACATGAACAATAATGAAAAGGTGGGGTAAATGGGGCTACTCTCTCTGGAGGCAAATCTGCCATCTTCCGACTTTCGATCTTTTGCTCGATAGATCGACACTTTACACACCTGTATTTGTTCGTTTTAGCTAACCTATGCACCCCTATGATCCAAAATCTCCTTCTGAATCTAGCCGCTGTCGACGCTACTCCATCATGACCCTTCTCATGGAAATGATGTGTGATAAGAAAGGAGATTGGATGATTACGCAGTAGGAGAATGGGATGCTTATCTTCATATGACATTGAGCCTTTGTCGACTAGCCCTCCAACGCAAATTATTTCATCCTCTATGAATGGACTCAGCGATTTCAAACCTGCGGATTTCAATCTCTCGCGTAGCGATTTCTGAGCGTGTTGAATCCAGTATGTCTCGGCATCATCAAGCTCACTTGGCGTTAACGATATGTCGGTTGCTGCAGCTTCATCCTGCTTCTTCTGAACTCTGGATTTCAACCTGCGAACAAATCTCAGTATGTAGGCCATTACACGTACAAGTCTCCTCCAGCTTAAGAATCTTGAACTATCTATTACCTCTGCTTCAGTTACGTGGAGGACTCTCTTGATGCTGCATTTCTTTTCGTCGATCGCGACTGGATCCGGTTGAACTCTCTCAGCAGGCCATTGTTCCTCTGGTAAGCTTAGGAATTCTGGCCCACTCTTACATCTACCTTCAAGCTCATCAATGGTTATACCCCTTGAAATGTTATCTGCTGGGTTCAAAGGGCCAGGCACATGCCTCCACTATTGTGGATCTGAGTTAGTTTAAATCTCCCCTATTCTGACTGAAACAAACGGCTTGAAGTTCCTGGCTTGACTTCTGATCCACGATAATGCGATTGTCCTTCCAAATCCAACTTCAGCTCTCTCTTGATCGTCGCACTTAGTCTGGTGGCCATTACTGATGCATGTAGCTCTAGTCTTGGTATCGTGAGCCTTTTCAAGGGAGCTACTCTTGACTTAGCTGTGACGAATTTGGTTTGAAACTGTCCGTTAGTGAGCTGCCATCTCAAATAAGCACATGTTCCATAAGCGCTTTCTGACGCATCTGAGAAAACACACAACGTAGGTTTCTGCTCTGCTGTTGGTGGTGTTAGACACCTATCTAGTGCAACATCATTCAAGTTGTTCATTTCTTTGAACAGTGCTAGCCATCTTGATACCTCTTCAGGTTGTAACTCTACATCCCATCCTAGTCCTAACTACCAGAGTCTTTGCATGCCGATCTTGGCGTTGAAGAGGAAGGCGGCTGCAATTCCTAGAGGATCGAAAATCCGAGCGATACGAGCCAGAGTTTTCCTTTTCGTTAGTGATGGTTCAGTCTCAGCCGGCTTTACCTTGTATGATAAGGTATCAGTTTCTTTGTTCCATCCAACTCCTAAGACTTTCTCTTCATCTGTAGATTCTAGCAGATTGGATTGCTTCTGTTCACCTGAGTCCTTATCTGTCAATCGTTCATTCATTCGATGACCACCCTTTGACGCGGAAGCCTCCATTCGCTAATATGGTGTCTAGCTCTTCTGTTAGCTTAACCGCTTGCTCCTTCGAAGACACTGAAAAGCATATGTTTTGTATAAGATGTAATTGTATGTCAGTCTATTTTGTGTGTATAGCGCTTAGAGACTTTGGTGGTAAGCGCTTTATAAGTAACGTTTTTATTATTATTATTATATGTCGTCCATATACTTATCCTCTCGAATGATGCGAGCTGCTTCCGGGTGGTTCTCTGCCCCTTCTTGGGCTGTTCGTCTAAGGGCGATCTGTGCCATGGCAGCCGATGGCTTATCGCCGAAGGTCAAGACGGTCTTGACATTACGTCTGGCTCCTTGTCGGTCTGTAGGTTTCTCCACAGATACCTGTGAACTTGCTGGTCACTTTCTGGGGTCATTGCTCTATGATCCATCTTTGATATATCTCTTATCACACCTGTGGCTTCTCTGAACCGCAATAGCACCCCAAGCATATTGTTCAGTAAATCTGGACCCTTTAACCTGTAATCATTTAGTGCATGACCCTGGAAACTTGCCAACGAATTGAAAACAATCCTTACCGGGGTACTCTTTTTCTCTGGGCTGATTACTGCATGGTGAGATACAGAGTGAATAGGTCCCTTGTATGAAGATGCGTCTTTCTCTGACAACTTGCGTGAAAAGCCCATTTCTACCATCTCATTCATCTGCTTGTCATACACCTTTGCGTATTCACTATTCTTGACTAGCCTTCTCTCTGTAGACTGAAGAACTTTCTCTGCCTGGATGTAATTATCAGGAAGTAGATGAGGATCTTTCCTCCACTTAAAGGGATCCATCCACTGTTTCCCTCTCTTCTCACATGACTTGTAGATGACGTCGTACTCCTCTTTCTCTATTTTGCTCATGCTAGCCGGTTTACAGTCTCTGCTTTCAAAACAATTAAATATTCAATTTAATTAAATAAAGATGCTTTAAAAAATAAATGGATATCGTTTCAGTTGACGGTAAGTGTTTTATTGCTCTAAAATTGAGGCTGCAAGAAACTGAAACAATATCCATTTATTTCAAAAGCATATTTATTTAATTAAATTGAAATATAAGTTTGTGAATTGCATATTTCAAGTTCTTTATTTCAAGTGTGAAATTTAATTTTGAAACCTGAAACTCGAACATTCAAACCCGGGTTTCGGCGTCACGGTCGGGGACCGGGCGGGGAACCGTTTTGACTCAGGCCTAACTGAGCAGGTCCAAATACTACCCAACCTATTTGGTTGGCTCAAACACCCAGCAATTACCCCGAAGAAAATCAGTCTGCGCAAATTGGATTTGACTTCTGGTGTGCTTTATTCTTGAGAAGTCGTAACAATTCAATCTGTATAAAAATAAATAACAAGAATACATATAGACATTTAGCACATGTAAATGAATACTTGTGTATTGCACTTCAATTTCTGTGCTTGTGTTTTCATTTATACCTAGTAAAAATAACTAAGTCTGTAAATTATTTCTATAATTTATGCTCACTTATCTGCATAATCTATTACACTGAATAATTACTTGAGTACTTGCATGATGTGACCTTTCACATACTAATGTACCTGTCATAATAAATGACTAATGAAATCAATCTCTATAGCTATGTACTTTATATAAGGATTTACTTGTTACTTGTAATGACTGTTTTATCTAATACAACGTGTTACACACGCCCACTATCGATAACAAATCTACAATGTGACACGTCCTTCACGCGCACTCTCATACGTGTTAACTCACATTAATCTATACCGTTCAATTAACCATGTAACTAATGTACATTAAATTGGCTAAATTTCATCTTATATTTATACTTTGAGCAAACTCACTTCTTTTGCAGGAACTCTGGTTTAACGGGAAAACATTCCTCGTAACAGGCACGTTGCATCTTAACCCTTCCTGCACTTGGGGGGGGGGGTTTGCGCCGCAACCGCTTGGAATTTTGAATTGTCGTTTCATGACTTTTTCCCTCAAGTCTTACGCACATTTTGATACCATTTTCGTCAAAATCGGATAAACCTGTAAGGCGTTACATAACAATTAGTATGCGCATGTCATCAAAACAAAAAAAAATCGCATCAAAATTTGCATAAATTATCATTATTATTAATTACATTAAATTAACTTTTTTGTGTTAGAAAAGAAGTTTCATATGAATAATGAGTTTCAACATTCAAAAAGTGGAGTTTGACACGTTTTCTGTAAAATGCATAAACTTAGCATTTTGCATAATTAATTAGGCTAACGACAAAATGTGCATACCGGGTATTCTGAAAAAACTAATTATACCATCTTGTTCCTTACGTAAATATCTACAAACATGCAAATTTTTGTGTTCATCGGACAATCGACGGCCGAGTACAGTAAGGGTTAAGCCAATTTCTGATGGCAAATAGAAATACATAACACTGACAACTGTACCCGCACGTTGTTAATCTGACACACACTAAATACATGCTAACATTAATGGTGGTGTCTTCTAACATACAAAGAAAACATCAAGTACGGTATCTTACAAGTACATCTCAATGAAGCGAACATATATTAAACATGATACTTGTAACTATTGAACATACATGAAAAAGTATAGTTTATGTTCATTCAATGAAAGACTATTGGTGACTATCTTGCAACTAACTTTCCCGCTTCTCGTGTATGACCTGTGTGAAGGGTAGGATGATCTATGCCTATCAACAGGTCGATGTCTCCACCTCTGCAATGAAGACTTTGGTGATCGATCTTCAGTACTTCTGCGATTTCTTTGATGTCTACTTCATTCACATCGCTTATGAATGGTAGGGCTACTGCTCGTATCATGTAAGTTAGCGAATTACCATCTACAGCTTTTACTGGAACTTTGTAGACATGGTTTCTACAGTCCCTTCCTGTCCGCCTATCTTCTTAAATGTTATAGCAGTTTTAGTACCTTGAAGATTCAGTTTATCGGCCACGGACTGCTTGATAACACTGAATTGAGATCCTGAGTCTATCAAAACATTCCACTTTACCTTACTTACTTGGGTATACTTGGGTGTAGAGACTGGAAGCTTCGCTTATTTGTCCCTCTTTACTGTTGCATCCCGTCTCAAGTATGGTTCAAACTTTATTGAATTGTTTCTCCAATACCTTTCTAGGGATGACTTGAATTGGTTAATGGTGGTAGCATTGACTACTTCCTTAGGCAGGGCATTCCAATTGTTTACACTCCTTATTCAGAAACTATACTGCCTAAGTCTTGTGTTAAAACGTTGTTTAACAATCTTGAAATCATGTCCTCTTGTTATTGATCCAGTGGCAAGTTGGAAGAATTTTGAAGGATTACTGAAACCCTGCTGCCCTATTATACCTGCTTCAAGAACCGGAAGCATTGATTTTCTCTCTGCATAATTGGATGCAACTGCAATGTTGGATGATATAGTTACACTGCTACTCCTTTCGTCTAAGTGTAGAAGTGGATGATGATAATATCTACACTGACCTTCACTGCACTGCTTTTTCCTTCTACAGTGCGTCCCAAACAAAACTATACACTTTAGAAATGGCTGCCGAATAAAAAATATATAATTCTGGGGGAAAGGTTTTATATATGTATGGCAAGCTCATAAACTCAACTTTTATATGACACCAAAAAGTCCGAAAATAATTCACGGTTGGGTGAGCACTGCTCACTTTTGTAAAGGGTATGAAAATTAGGTTGCGTAGGAATTAGCCTTCCAATTTGTGAGATGTAAATCCTTTGGAGCTTACAAGATTGAGGGTGATATGATACAGTCATGATTTGCTGAGTGAATTTCATGGTTTATTAAACCAAAATGTTATGTATGAGTGAACAGGAATTGCATTTGTTATTGTAGCTTTGTAACTTTCCCTGGTAGACTCAGTGGTGTGGTCATGGGAGTCAGGATGGGGTGATGGTACATGTTGTAATTTCCATGTTACAAACTGTTATTTTATACATCTGTGACTTTGAATAAACACCTTCACCCCAAATTTCAATTATTGTAAGATTAGTTGAACATCTCACTGATTTACTTAATACCCAGGTAGGGATTATGTAAATTGAATATTCAAATACGGTTTGTTGAAAAAGGGAATGTCCAAGATGTCGGCTACTTATTCTTCAGGTAAATGGTAACTGAAATGAGGGCGTTGGGGACTGATTGTAGTACGGATGGATGGTGGAAGGATCTGTAGTGAAGATATCTATCGGTGTGCGTGGGTTTCCTGTAGACTTGGTGAGCGGGCTTGCCGGATAGCGATGACGCCTCAAGCTGACGACACCCTCCCCGACAGAACTCCCCCGACATCGGATGACATACATGACCTCATGTACTTCTGCCTCAACTCAAATTCCTTCCAATGGCGAGACAATTGCTTCTAGCAACTTTAAGGCGCAGCCATAGGATCGCCTCTTTCACCGGTTATAGCCAACATCTTCATGGAGCACTTCGAAACAATGGCACTCCAGACTCTCTCACAACACCCTTCTCTCTGGCTCTGATATGCCGACGACACATTCGTCATCTGGCCGCATAGCAGAAGTGACTTAGACCAATTCCTCGCCCACATCAACCAGCATCACCTGAGCATTAAATTCACCATGGAAACCGAGCAAAACAACAGCATCCCCTTCCTAGACGTCCTCGTTACCAAATCGCCATCCGGCAAGCCCGTTCCCCAAGTCTACAGGAAACCCACGCACACCGATAGATATCTTCACGACAGATCCTTCCACCATCCATCCGTACTACAATCAGTCTACAACAGTCTTTTCAAGACTACACCAACAGTCCTTTTCAGGACTACACACCCTCAAGAAAGATTACCGAGAGTCCTTTTCAGGACTGCTCAATCCTTCCTCTCTCTCACATGGTGCATCCGCATGCCTACTGTATAAATGTCTGTATTATCTTTATGTATGTATCATTTCACAATTTATCTACCTGTATGTGTTAAAAGATAATAAATTAAGTTAAGACATTGTGTTTTCATTCCAGGATAGGAAAGTGAGTCGTGCGTGGACCACTCTTGAGGATGATGGTATCTTAGAGGATAGGTTGATTGAGCATATGTGGCAAGACAATAAGGAGCCGAAGGAGATCTTAGTCAAGCTCATGGACAAGTTTGATCTCATATGTGACGCTACTGTAGAAGCTCCTGTAGAAGCTCCTGTAGATGGAGAAGTCACTGAGGTAAATCTCCAGCTATATGCGGCTCCAACTTGGGCCTCTAGTTTTATTTTATCAAAAGTATAGGATTAGGGTTATGTTTGCAATTAGGTTTTCGGTTAGGGTTTAGGTATAGGGTATATTGTTTGATCCAGTGCTGAAGCTAGCAGGCATGTGAAATGTCTGCAGTTACGCAAAAAAAACGTGTTTTTAAAATCAAGATCTCACGTTTTGCATTTAGATTTCCGAGCATTTTATTCTTGGGGGGTGGGGGGTTGCTGGTCTGTTACCATGCTTTTTATCGAAAGATAAATGCATTCTCTGCTATTCTTTGCTATTCTCTGCTATTCTCTATTATGTGAGCAATTATTATTCATGTGTAAAAATGGGATAGAGACTAGCAAATCTGGTATGATTTGGTTTCCCTGTCTAGCGCTGCACACATGTATGTACTAAGATCCGCGGCTTAGCTGGAGTGACTAGGCACCGCATCACACCAGGCTAGCGATCGTGCGCTGACGCTCTAAGGAGATGGCCGGTCGCATCGGCTTTCCTCTGTTTTGGGCTTCCTCACATGCCTGAGTTAGGAATTCATTTTTGGATACCATATTTGTTTATATCTGACAATACATGTTCGATTAAAAATGTCGGTTGTGCCGTGAAATGGAGGGATTAAGTACAGTTTTGAAAGCTTTTACCCTATAAATGTTACCAAAATGTCTATTTCTGAAATTCAGAATAAAAAATTGCTCAATAGGTCGACGTTTTTGTGAAACTTGCAACAATTTAGTGGCAGGAGTGGGATCAATATGTGTAACTTGAAATGACGATTGAAATGATGATTGAAATATGAATTGCTTTGTTCTTTGCTTAGATTTATCAAAATTAGACTTTTTTGTATCTTGCTATATTTTGTTTTGTATTTATGGTTTAAGTGTTTGGATATGTTTTAATATTATAGGTATCAAATGAAACAGAGAAGGAAAAGAAATGCTACTATGTTCCTTCCAGGCTAAAGGCACATCGCTCCCCAAAAGAGATTCCACAGATCAAATCTACAGACTTTTATGTGGACTTCGGGGGCTTCTTACCAGGTGAGGATGAATTCATCATCTGTTAACAACCAGAAGGGTGTTAAAGGGATGGTTGAGTTCTTGTTTAAGACCGCAAATGCCTGCAAAGTGCATGGTTATAATTGCTCTTATTCTCATTTATGACATTTTTAGTGCCCTTTTAGAACCTAAAATTACTTTAAAGGTTTTTCCAGACCCCAACATGTGTGAATTTAGGCACCTTGGATCAAATCGAGTGGCTGTAATTACACGTGCTTCCCGCAACGCAGCCGTGATTGTCCTCATCCCTCTATTCAAAAGATGCTTGGGGGAATCCCGCATTGAGAACACTTCCGTTTCAAATGTCTCCACCACAGAGAGCGATCTTTTCAATAGAGCTTACCAATGGAGCGCTCTCTGTTGCCAAACATGTACAAAGAAGATGTGCAAAATTCAGATCCCTTCCCCCAAAGGGAGAACTTATCAAGAAAATTTATAGAGAAGTCTATCACACATTTTATACAAGTCGTACATTCACGCCCCTTCTTCCTTTAATATGTTTCGCTTTGTTGTAGCTTCATTTGTCACGTTTTTGTTTCTAAACTTTATTATTTTTGCGGGGTTATCTTTAAAAATATTTGACTTCTGGAACACTTATAAACGTATGGGCCATATGTTTATGAATAATCATGAAAAGATTATTATTAATAAATGAATGGCACAAAATATTAATCGTTTGAATGACAGTGCCTTGAAAACTAAACATAACACCAACAGCAGCAGTAGCCTTCATTTTTGTTCTTTTATCTCTCAAGGAAGGTTTTTATTTCCATAATTTCAATACATATTTACATTAATTACTCAATGATTAAGTGAAATATAACAGGCTAGAAATCAGAGAATATACAACGATTCTTCTAGCTTAGTATTACCGGTATTTTTTTCTCCATGCGCCTCAAACACATTAGTCATGTGGAGTTGGCGCTTTACAAATACTCGTTTATATTGATTTTTGATTTTGAGATCATGAATTAATTAATTAAATTGTGTTAGAATCAATGCAGTGTTTCTAAAATCTGAATTGCATGTTTAACTTTTCATTATTTTGTTTCTTTTTTAATTTATTCAGGATTGTTGAAACAAAAAACAAAACAAAACAAAAAATCTAATTTGAAACTTCATGTAAAAATCCCTTAATCACATGTAAATGTGCCCAACATCAAGATATGTGTTTGGTAGCTGCATATGATGCATATTTCTTGATAAGCCAGACAAGGCGCGACGTGCCACAAATTTTACTGAGCCGCGCAAAAATTTTAGGAATTTTGAAAATAAAATGTTGGAAGGTCTTCCCTTTTAGGCCAGGTTGCCTGGTGCTGCTTTTGGCTTTCTACCCTGTGCCGTCGGCCCTGTGTTTGGGGTTAAGCCTCCAGCTCCTGCTGCCATAAGTACTCGGTCACACAGTAGCTTCTCGCACCAATTTTGTTCAGCCTAAGGTGCGGTGTAGCGTGGTAGTGATGACCATGCTGAGCCTATAGCGAAACCTACCAGCTTTAGCAAGGCCTTTAAGCAGGCTTCGTCACTCGACGCTTCGGCGGAGGGTAAGAAGCGGTTTGCTTTCTGATGCCAAGTCTCCGACTGTGACTTCGGCTGAGAAGGCTGTGATAAAGTCTTCACCTTGTCTTTCCAGCCACTCAGACTGAGCTTCTCGGGGCAAGTTGGGGCTTTGCCCCTGCCCTAGGTGTGTCCTGACTGGACTTAGTTACACTTGTCTGGTGTTTGCCGGTTCCCGTTTATGTTTCTAGACCCGTCTTGCCAAGCTCGGCTTCTGAGAGCCTCTGTGCTGTGGTTAGCCTTTCGTTGGTGGTGGCTAAGCTCCCACCTCCCACTACCCTTGCTACTCCTCCATGGGAGGAGTTGGTAGCTAGATTGGGTCTCTCCCTTCCCTTCTGGGTTTTTAGTTTTTCCCCAAGCCGTGGGCCTTTCTGGTACCCTGTCTCACAGTTGACTTCAGCGTCTGGGTTTGGTTCTCAGTAGAGTTTATCCCCACTGCTGACCAGTCCTTGGGGACCCATGTGCAGGTTTCCATTAGAAAATATCTCTCAGATACATTCCCCCAGCTAATACTCAGGGTTATCAGTGTCCATCGCTGTTGTTTTTAAAAACATCTGGCTCCCTGGCGGATTTCCAGCCACCGGTGGATGGCAAATTAGAGAATTAAGAGCTAGAGTTTTCTGCCGAAGACTCGCTGGTCCTGGGGGACCTCCTCTTGTCACTGGCGATATAGTTTCGCCAGAGGCAGTCGGCTGGGACTTCCAAGTCCAATCGCCAATCCGCTGTCCAACACTCGCCGCGCTTGCCACCTTCCTTTGGGAAAGAAGCCTTCGACCTTCGCCTTTTGGATCCACTGGCTTTTGTTGTGAGTTTGGAGTCCCCCTTGCGTGTTCAGCGGCAGCTTCCTCTGCATTCCACGTAGTATATAAGCTCTCTGATCTATTGTAGGATTTCAGAGCTTTCCTTGGAGCATTGATCCTCTCTCTCGGTTCAGATGTCCGTTTCGTAAGAGATTTTTCCTCGCTTTCCTCGAGTGAGCTGCTCGCTTGTGGCCTGGGCGAGAGCCGCCCTGCTCTTTCCCTGCCTTGGTCTCTCTCTCATCACAGATGCCTCCCCCTTGGGGTAGGGCGGTCATCGCCTAAACATTTGACAGGAGGCTGTGTTGAAGCACTCGTTGATCGATCGTGGTGCAGAGCTTCGTTACACCCCCTCTTCACTTAAACCCATCTCCGTCGTCCGGACCGGTTGTAGTCTCTCGCTGGCCTTTCCCAGGTTTTGGGAAAGGTGCTTTCTCAGAATACAAGCAGGCCTGGATTCAAGGTTCAGAGTAGTAATTGTGCTGCCAAGCGCTTAGAGTCTTCATAGTAGTTTGAAGCTCTATTTAAAGGCGGGTTATTATTTCTAATTTCTCCTCTGTTACTGGAGGTGAGATTTAGTCTCTGATGGGCGTTGGTTTATTTTTTGAAAATGACCAAGACTGGCCCCTGTGACAGTCAGCTGTTTGTTATTCTCAGTGAGCCCGTTATCTGGCTTCTTTGGAATCCATCTTTAGATGGATCGTCAAAGACACCAGTCTGCGGGTCCTGAGACCCATTTATCTGGTGCCGAGCCCTGGACTCACGATTGCCATGGGTATAGGTACCCGCTGCTCTTTTTCAAGGTAGTGTAACTGCCTTTTGACTTTCTCTCGATTCCTTCACAACCGTTTTCTTTAAGGGATTTGCGGCAGGTAAAGAATCGTTTGCTATGGCAACATTGTGTGCAGCAACATCTTCCTGGTTCCCCTGCTAACCTCTTTCTTGGGACATGCCTCCCGCTTTCATCTGTGCTGGTCTAAGCAATAATAAGTAGATACATTGATTTATCGAGGTAAATTAGTCAAATCAGAACTGATTTTATTATTTACTAATACTGTATAAATCTATGTATCTACCTATGTTCCTCCCTCCGTCCCCTCTCCTTGACTGGCAACATGTCCCAAGTTTGGTCTGCGGCTGCTTGTGAGAGGATGATTATGTGTGCGTGCATTCCGCGCGTGAGCTGGAGGTTGGCGGGGTTCCAGGGGGGGGGTATGCACAGTTGTGACTTTTTCTTTTTCTCGATGGTCTGCTTTGTCTAGAGGACGAAGCAATAATAGGTTATATGAATAATAAATCATTTAATCAGGTCTGATTTAACTGATTTCTTGCCAAAGGACGTGTTAGGGTGTTCAGATTTACAAACCACTAGACATATGACTATGTTTATATTCAGAGTTTAGTCCAACTTGTTAGAAACTCATTTTCTCAGAAATATATAATTGTGTTGAAGTATTATTGCAGCTGATATATATTTTAAGCTGGCTTTCAAAACTTCACTAGCCATAACCTGTTAGTCATCTCTCTTGTTTGCTACTTCCACAGATGGGCTGTTTCATCGGTTGATGACTAGAGCAGTAAGATGGAAGGGAAAAAGAAAAAGGGAAACAGTCAAACTTTTCTATCGTCAGATCCAAATACCACTTGATAATAAGCATCAAGCCTATCTAGAGATGTTACCCCCTCCTGAAGCAACTATCAAGGTATGAGTGAAGTGTCAGCAATACCTTTTTTTGTGGTGGGGATACTGAATTGTAGGTCGAGTTTTTGAGGCCATGCATCGGATCCCTTCATAGGCAATAAATAGCCTCCACCGGGCAATGTTATAGTCATTCTCCCAAAGACGATTAGATCGTACTGTTGACACAAAGAGAACCAAGAGCTCTTCAGGGCTCTTATTCCTTTGAAAGAAGTACATTGTGTAACCCTGAAAACTTTACCTACTATTCAGTATCAATTAGGTCTGGTTCTTAGTGCTCTAATCTGAAAAGCAGAACCTCATGATATGTGACCTTTGGTGTGTTTTTTTTTTTGGGGGGGGGGGGGAATTAAATACACATAAATTCTTAAGCTGATAAGTGTATTTAAGATGTGATTACAAGCCCAATAATTGTTTATATTTTCAATCTATCTTTTTGTTTTTGTTTTGTTTTGCAATATTGTGATATTCTATTTAAAAAAAAAAAATTACATTGTATTTTAATTGTGTAATTTAATACAGTGCTCTCTTTCTCTTGCAAATCAGATTTTGTGTACCGAAGTGCATGCTCTATAATGAACACAGAATAAATAAATTTATAAATAAACTAGACATAATACTTGTTTGGAACAAGTATAGGTGGGCTGGTCAACTAAAATTTGAGACAAAATAGAGCAAAAATAAGCGAGATACTGCTAAAAAACAATGTCATGTAGATTAATGATGTGAACGAAATTCACCTTCCATAGGCATAACACGCAACTTAAGAAATTTCTGATATGTGCCTATCATCGTAAATTTCACTATGATGTCGTGATCAAAATGAAATGGAGTCGGAGAAATGATTCCTTGTCTCATTTGTCATCATAATGGCCTTGGAACTCAAAATACGAATTTGCATATTATGACGTCAGCATATTTATGGAAAATTGATTGTATCTCTGTAAATATTGATCGATTTTCTTCCAAATTTCGATATGTTGTAGCAAAGCTCAGTCATCACCATTTTTCATTTTGATCACGACATCATAGTGAAATTTACGATGATAGGCACATATCAGAAATTTCTTAAGTTGCGTGTTATGCCTGGAATCATTTCTCCGACTCATACTCTATCTAAATATGAAAACAAATTGAAGGTCACGGCTCATTCCAAAGAGCTATAATGGATTTTGTATAGGCATGTTTTTGTCCATATATGCGATGTATTAAAAGAGCTCGCGCGCACAGACGTTTATCTTGAATTGACGCTCATCTTGTTATTAATGGTCATAAAGAGATAAACATGGTATCAAATTCCTCGAAAAAATATGAGAAATATCATGAAAGAAAAAAAATGGCGATTCTATGTTTTGTAATGTTGTTACGCGCGAAAACGCGCGCGCATGCGCGTGTGCGCGATTTTTTATAAAATGCTTAAAATGACCTGAAACGTATGCAAAAAAAATTTGAGACGATTTTGAGCATTTTAAATTTTTGCGCGCGCACTGACGCGCGGACGTACGCGCACGCGCGCGTTTTTTTACCTGAAATTGACCGGACTGATATTGACCTTGATCATGATAAATATGAATGATAAATACCTTTTGGTTATGAAGATATGATCATGAGATGATTTTCAGAAAATTTCACAAAATGGCGCCTAGATGACGTCATCAGTCAAGGTCAAGGTTGAAAACCTTACCGTGTCTTGTCCATATGCCTATACATATGTGTGCTAAATATCAAAGCATTTGATTGAACCATTTCAAAGTTATCTTGCTAACAAAAAAGTGGGTCAAAATAAGAAAAATAAATAAATAATAATAATAAATAAATAATAATAAAGGCAATTTTAACAAAAATATAAGGTGGTCTGTATTAGATACAGCCCACCTGATTAATAAATATCCCTCTCAAAATTGAGGGGAGTTATTGACTAATAATTATGACTATTCTAAAGGTTATAATTTGGGGATTTTGTTTGCTTTACATGCTACGATCTCTGTTGATTTTATATTTGTTCTTTTCAATACATTTAATTTATTGTCTTCTATATATATATTTTAAAACTTTGACCTTTCTCCTATGCTCATGTTATCAATATTGAAACTTTATTTTGTATACCTTAAGATAGTCTGAGAGGTTTATTGTATCCTTGCCCAATAATGTCCAAATTTCCCACCAAAGTGAGAGAAGTATAAAGCAAGATATTCTTAGCATAATGTACAGTTTCTTAGCACCGCACAAGGATCGCCATTTCCTTGATACTATGTGAAGTTGTTTATGAAGTAAATGGATGCTTCCTCACCCCTCCCCTCTACATCATGCCTAGAATATCTTCATTTATATACATGTATCCCTTATAAATTTTCATGAGGAATATTGTTCATCAATAGGCAGGAATAAATCTGATCTTGTAGCATACTTACTGTTATTGTTTGGGGTTAGGTTTTTTCTTTGTTACTTCAAAAAAAACAAAAGGCTTTATGCCAGTAATTCACTTAACTTTTTCTGATTTGCAATGTATTTCTTTTGCAGAACCGGATAAAATGGCTTTGATATAGCAAAAATTGTTTAGTTATCAACTGTACACAATTACACACCATCATTTTATTAATGTCTTAATCTGTTATCCTTGAACTTTGATGCTGATTACTTCAGGTCACTGTATTCCGAGAAGTGGTTGATGGTTCTTGGGATAGCCATCAACCTCCAGCCCCAAATGTTGTCAAAAAGGTAAGTAGCTCAACAGGGTGGTTTCAATTACAACACAATAGCAATGAACAAAGACGGAGGCGCATAACAGTTCTCTGACATTTATGATATGTGTTCACAAAATAATGTTTGTGTTCGATTGGAAAACTGGTAGCTTGATTTAGTCTGTCAGCACACATCTGAGAAAGGTCTCTTAACCATAGAATTGAAACTGTCACTGGTAAACAGTTTTAGATGTGTCATAGAACATATTTCTTATAGAAAAGAGAAAGTAGAGGTAACTGCATATAAGTTGAATCAGTTGGGACCGCAAAGAAAAATATAGTTTGACTTGGGCAATAAATGGAAGTGTAAGTAACACATGATTTACATAGGTCCAAGAAATTTATTTAACTTACAGAAAATTTGACATGTACTTGAGTTATGCAGAGCTACCTGTAGTTGATTTCAATTAAGACAATAGTAAAGTTAGACCAAAGGCACTTAAACTTGAATTAGTAATCAACTACAGTTGAAGGCAGAATTAACACCAGTTCTATTTCTGAAAGTCTGGTTAAGTTTAACCATATTCTACATCCACTTTATGTTGTAACACCATTTAGCTATCAAACTGTAACTCTGTGCTTCATCAAAATGGTAGACCTTTCTCATACCTTTCTGTGCCAATAGGTTTATAGACAATTGAAATTAACTTCCAGGAGAATATAAATGGTTCATGATGTATTTTGGTCTAGATATATTGGAAACAAACCTCAAAATAAATGTACTGTTTATGGATCAAGAAGATGAGAGGACCATTTTTCCCTCCACCCAAATCGGCAATGCCTGTTCATATGTCCCAGACTTTGTTAGCTTAAGAGACAATATAAGCCAATGTGTGATCAATGCGCTATCCTCATGACAGTTTCATTGTAGATCTGTCTATTATGAGATAATGAAAATAATAATAATCTTTTAAAGTCCACTCCAAATTTTATTGGGTTAAACCGAAAATGGAAATTCTTTTGCCCAATTGATCGTGAGCCCGGCAGCCACTGAGCAGCGCCAGATCGACGTTGCTCTATACCTTATTGTTGAACGCCAAACAAGGTAGCAGCAACTCCCGTCTTTTAACGTCTTTTAGTATGAAGCGGCCGGGGTTCAAACCCACGACCTCTCGGTTGTGAGGCGGACGCTCTATTGGCTGAGCCAACACACCGATGTGAATTTAAATCAAAGTTAAGTAAACTTGAAGTAGACAAAAAGAAATTAAAATAAAAAATCTGTCTTGGTGTTGTTTGTGTATTTATGGCAGGTGACGGACTTTGTAACGACAAACCTTGATAGCCTTAAGCAACACTGGGCTAAGAGGATCAAATATAATGTCTGCATTCTGTGCCCGTGCCCGGACCCGAGTTGCTGTAAGAAGCTACTGTTAGACTGCTGCTTGGAGCAAGAATCACTCACGTGTCGCATACATAACAGCCTTACGCTTCCAATCAAGTTCAAGTTTGGTAGGTGTATAAGACTTGGTACCCCACCAAAAACTACATACCGTAATTAACAGTGTATAAACCGAACCTTTTTGCCGCCGAAAAAAAATCAAAGTCGGGGGTGCGGTTTATACACGGTACACCAAAAAACAAAAAAAAATAAAAGTTTCGATTTATGGCGCTATGCCTGGCAATGTCTCCCAGCTCAGTAATAGGTGTGTTGACTCACCACTCAGAAACTAAAACAACACTCAAATTTGTCTGTCATCTTGGTTTGAAATTAATCTTTCTGATAGATATCAATATGTAGTTTATAATAATAATTCCTAATTTTTCTTGTATTACATGGTGTACCACAAGGTCCTATCCTAGGTCCTCTACTGTTTTTTAAATTTACATTAATAATCTTACACATTCAGCTGCACCTCGCAGTTAAATGAAAGGCCTTCCCGCGTGGGTTTTTTAACACGAAACCGGCAACAAAAAAAGTCGGCAAAAAAAAGGAAAAAAAAACCACTTTTTTTTTTTTTTTAAAGGGCGAAAAAGAGGGGTGCGGTTAATACACGAGGGCGGTTTATACGGATAATTACCATATGAACAATTTGACCTACATTCGGCCAAAAGATCAATGAGTCATTTGTGTACCTCCTACACAGACAACGAACATTCGAGTGCACTAGAGCGTAACACCATGGTACAGGAGAACATAGGACTCTTTCAATTTTAGAAAATAGGGGTTGATCATAGAAAACTAGTGAGAGTATGCGTAACTATTAAGTTACACTTACACAGTAATTCAGACCCTATATTATGCCAATTTCAAAAATAAGTAAGAATAAAAGACGTTCACTCTCTTACTCTTAGTAAAAGAGAAACAAATCAGGAACTTACATGCATGTAAGTCTAGTAGCTTATAGATGCAGATGCACATTACCACTGTGTAATAACTTCACTTACGAACTTGCATTTTTATAGAGGTCATGAGTAAATTGATTTTAAAAATGCCTTTCATTTGATTGAAATTGGCCCTACTTTCTCGACAACCAATCACATTATGTGAAACATCAGACGGCAGGGGATTATATACCCTCTGTTTTGGCAGCCTAGACCACCCAATAACGAGTCACATCAATTATCTCCTTGAAGTACACAACCCCCAGTGAAAAGGGCGAATTGTGACCTCCATAGCTCCATGGAGAATTCACAAAGTGAGCGATCGTTGTCCAGTTTGGAAGACGAAATGGTGTGTAATCAAAGTTTGTTTTCCTTGTAGGAGCATTTTATTAAACACTAAGCACATTTTCAATGAAGATTTCATGTGTTATAGACTGCGGAGCGAGACCGCGTTAACAGATGCCTGAAATTTGTTCATAATATGTTTTGCTCTGAAACGAATCTCCCACACAGCAAACCCATGGTCCCATTAAGAAATACTCTCTAGTCTCGCGGGGAATCTTTGAGGAGGGAAATGTAAGATAATACCTTTTCCATATGGGGTGATTGGTGGAAAATGCAGAGCATTACATAAGGCCTGTTGGTCATAAATCTGAAGGCTAATCCTTGTGATTGATAATACCTGTTATTGCCAATATTGGGTAAACACCAAAATAGTGTCAATATTCCCCACGAAAGCACACTACTATGCATCGATCTTTAATATAGATAAAAGTCACTTGTGTGTAGACCTAGCTGTACACCTGTACACACTGACATAGGGCCTGCATGGAACGCAAGTCCAACTTTAGTTTCGTATGTGGGGGGTTATATGTTATACCGGTACTTGATTTTCTCCATCGATACTCCTTGACTATTGATGCATAGAATACCAGGTAAAATTGTGTTAGGTTGATTTTATACCTTAAATCATTATATTTTAGGTTATTAGTGCAATTATTGTACTTATGTGTATAAAAGTATACTCATGGTGTTGTCAAATGGCACTTTTTGTCTTCTCCGAGAAATGCCCTTGTTCACCTCTGAGAAGTGCCCCTTTTACTTTGAAAGGTGCAATTTACATTTTTAGTAAGTGCCTTTTCCTGCTTTTGATACATTTGTTCCCCTTGTTACTTTTGATGTAATTGCTCTTTGCTAGCTAGGTGCCACTTTTTACCTTTATCTCCCGCTGTTGCTTACAAATTACATTTTGTGGTCGTCTGAAGTGCCATATCTAGTTTCAAAGAATCAGAGCAGCTTTTGTGTAGTAACATGAAACCCTTTTCTTTCTACCACTGATAAATGCCAGTCAGGAGGGGGCAGGGGGCACAATGGCCAAAATGTCATAGAAACTAACTGTGCCACTTTCAGTAATAAAATCGTGCTTGCTTACAAAGCTATCGAACCTCCCTTTTCTATTCCAAGGTAATCGATAGCACTTTTTTCAACAATATACATAGGTATTCAGACAATGCAGTGGCGGATCCAGGGGGGGGGCCGAAACGGCCGCGGCCCCCCCCCCCCCCTATTGGCGGCGCAAAAAAAGGAAAAAAAAAGAGGAAGAAAAGAAGAGAAAAAAAGAAAGGAGAAGAGGAGGAAAAAAAGGAGAAGAGAAAGGAAAAAAGAAGAGAAGAGAAAAGATAAAGACCCCCCCCCCTCCCCCCACTCCCTCCAACTCCGGGGTCGGAGGGACCGAATATGTGTTCCCTAAATTTCCGATAAAGAGTTACTTTTCACGAAACAAAGTCCAGCCCGCAATACACAAAAATCCGGCCCGTACTGACTTTACACAAGGGAGATAGAGGGGTGCTTTCAAAGAGAGGGAACATACATGTGCGTACCCTAGATAACACTGAGAGGAAAGGGGGGGGGGTTGGGGAAAAGAAAAGTCGGTGAGAAAGGGGGAAAGACAAGGAAATGGCGCTAAGTGACAGTAACGACAAATATGGGAAAACTGTAATCGGGAGATTTGGGGTCATTCCAGAAGGCTCATTGGCAAACGTTATTGAACAGAGGGGGGCCGGGCCGGCCGCATAAAATCTAGAGCCGCGGATTCAAAGTTAAACGTTAAGAACAGCCCCTGCGGTCATCACTCTTTAGTGAGAAATTTGAAAAGGGCACAATATTTTGGATGTCTTTTAAATAGAAGTTATATACTCAACAGTCAAATTTTAAATTAACGGTAGGGCCGCTTCACAACTCTTATTTTGCCCTTCATTTGGATTTAGCTCATATCGACTCGCTTGTGCTTGTATTTGAACTCATGTTGGTAGTAATCATGGACAGGGGCGGCAATCCTGGGCCCGATATGGGGACAAGTCTCCCAGGAAATTTAGAAATATAGCTAGAAATAAATATAGCGGAAAGAACGTACATATCGGGCTTAGGGATTTTCTAGAATGCATAATTTCAGCATTCAACATTGCAAAATCTCACTTGGTCGCTACGCCCCGGCCCTCGCCCGATAACATAAAACTATGACGCTCCCGGCCGTGATTTATCCATGGTAGGTGTAATAGAGAATGGTACAACGAATCGTCTTCTTTCTCTAATAATTTAATGAAATGTCAAAGCTTCCGCTCATCGCTCGGGAGGGGGGCAACTGAATTCGGACAAGGATTGGGAGTCGAGAATGATTCGTCTTCTTCCTCTAATAATTTAATAAACCGTCAAAGCTTACGCGCGGGCAAGGGAGAACTTAATTCAGACAAGGATTAAGAGTCGAGAATGGTACAAAGAATCGTCTCCTTTCCCTTATAATTTAATGAAACGTCAAAGCTTCAGCGCTTCGCGCGGGAGGGGGGGGGAACTCAATTCAGACAAAGATAAAGAGTCGACGGTACAACGAATCATCTTTTTTCTCTAATAATGTAATGAAACGTCAACGTTTCCGCACTTCGCGCGGGAGGAGGGGGGCAGGAACTCAATTCAGACAATGATTAAGAGTCGATAATGGTACAATGAATCGTCTCCTTTCCCTTATAATTAAATGAAACGTCAAAGCTTCCGCGCTTCGCTGGGGGGGGGCGGGAACTCAATTCAGAAAAGGATTAAGAGTCGAGAACGGTACAACGAATCGTCTTCTTTCTCTAATAATCTAATGAAACGTCAAAGCTTCCGCGCTTCGCGCGGGAGGGGGGGGAGGGGGGGGGGAGGAAACTCAATTCAGACAAGGATAAAGAGTCGATGACTGTACAACAAATCATCTTCTTTCTCTAATAATTTAATGAAACATCAACGTTTCCGCGTTTTGCGTGGGAGGGAGAAAACTGAATTCAAAGAAGGGCTAAGAGACGAGAATGGTAAAACGATTCGTCTTCCTCTAATGAACCGTCAAAGCTTACGCGCATCGCACGGGCAAGGGAAAACTTAATTCAGACAAGGATTAAGAGTCGAGAATGGTACAAAGAATCGTCTCCTTTCCCTTATAATTTAATGAAACGTCAAAGCTTTAGCGCTT